TGGTGGAAACTGAGCTCTGTCTAAGCAAGTGTTGGGGCCTCTGATATCACTACTGAAGCTGCTTGTCAGAGTCGCACTTAGCACCCATGGGGATCCCTGTTGGTGCCAGGGAAGCAGCCCCTGGGGCTCTGCAAAGCTGCTGGTGCAGCCACCCTCCTGCTCCAGCATCTGGGGAGCACGGGCTCATTCTCACCAGGGAGTATCGGGCTGTCGCCAGTGATTGCTGCCAAAGGGGAACCCAAAAGGGGGATCCGCATGACCCTTCTTTGCATGTTACTGCTGTGGCAGGTCTCAGCAATGTGAATCACTGATTCATGAAGAGGAAGAGGGTGTAGAGAGGAGCAGGGAAGAAAGTTTATGGCTGCAGCTGTGTAGCACTTTGAATTGAGATTGTGGATATTGTAGGGAGATCATTTTGGGGACGACCCTAGCCAAGTGTGATACTGATAAGCACTTGACTGGAAGAATACTTCTTACCTCTGACTACAAAATCTGCCAAGGTTTCAGAGGTATGCATAACCCTATCACTACAGGATGTCAGCTGTGCTTTAGGAAACAGCAGTGTACCTCCAAGTAAGAAATATCAGGGAATCATATAATCATAGAATGGTTTGGGTTGGAAGGGACCTTAAAGATCATCAAGTTCCAACCCCCCTGCCATGGGCACGGACACCTTCCGCTAGACCAGGTTGCTCAAAGCTTCATCCAGCCTGGCCTTGAAGTTTAGTTTTTTTCTTCATGGGCCACTTTTTCATTGACAAACCATTTTTGGGGTTGAAACACCAACCGAATTCACTACAGCTTGAGTGGTTGCGGTGAATGGAGATGAGCCTGAACATGCTTTGCAATACACTCAGTATGAGCTGACCTTTACATGATGCCATTTTGGCTAAATATAAATTTACATATGTTGACCCAGATTATCAGAGGGAGCTGGCTTTACAGAGCTCTCCTTCTTGTACATAAGGACATAGTGAGACCATCACAGTCCTTCTGGGGCCGTTCCCCTCTTTCTCAGGTCACTGGCAATACAAAATGGGAGAGCAGAGGTGAGGAGAGGAATCTGTATCCTGTAGGACAGTGTCATGGTTTGTTTGCCAGAGCCTCACAGAAGAAAAGTTCCTGGTAGCTCGGCATGTCCTCTGAGCTGACCAGCTGCAGGCTGGATGGGGACTGTCCACGAAAAACTCTTCAAAGTGTCCTTACACCACTCTACTCTCCTGAGACCCCTTTTCTATGAGTAGCCTCTGTAAGGAAGTTATCCAAGATGTGGTTATTAAATAAACTTATAAAGGCGTGTGGATATTTGGTGAATACATTTTTTCTCATTTATTTCCCTCTGAAATTCAGAAATATTAAATAGAGGGGTTTGTATTATGGGAATGTCACAGAGATCACGTCAGATTTTACTGATTCCTAATCTGTGTTTCTCTGACACTTTGCATTTTAACACAACACAGGTGGTTTATGTCACATGGGGAAAATAGTAGCACAGTGAAGAGGAAAAAATGTGTTTCATACACTTATTTATAGACTTACATCTGCTTTCCTCAGAGTCAGTGGTTGGCAAAACTCCAATCGGCTTCAAAATGGGTGCTAAATTTAACCATCAAATCAGCTTGATTCTAAGTAACCCTCAATAAAGGTGAGACTTCCAGGTCGAAGGACCCATTGCAAAATACTTTCTTTAACAGACATTTATCAGCAGTCGGAGCTGGATCAGCTCAGAACTGGACAAAGTGTTCTTGGGTTGCTGGGCAGCATGATCGTAGTCTTTCCACCTTTTTTTTTTTTTTTTTTTTTTAAATTCCAGGTGTAACACAGTATATTTACAAAAGGTAAAAATAACATGCAGCTATGAAGAAAAACATCTCAGGTTTCATTTCAGACCTGGAGCTAAGGATGAATCACTGCGAGGCTGCACCCTTTACACTGGGCACACTTTCTGAAATCTGCTTTTCCACTGCCTCTGCTCTCCCAGTGGTTCAGAAATAAAGCAGACTCACAGAAAGTCCTAAAAAAAGCCTTTGCAGACAATCACTCTCTTGTTGTTCTGGGCACTAAAAATACTGTTTTTAGTGTCTGCTTGCATTTTCAGTTTTGCTTTCTATACTGTAGAAGTCCGTTCCAGCCATTTGAATTAAGCCTTGGTTCAGTGGTATGCATAAGCACACACTCAATTCGAAGCACATAAGTAGTCCTGTAAGCTCCCATGGAGCTGTTTACATGCTTGAAGTTAAGCATGGTCTCAGATTTGCTGAACTGAGGATTTGCTTCTCCACCCAGTAAGCAAATGGGATAAAACCCTTGACCATCTGCTTCTGGATTTTAATGAAAAGTTATGACTTATTCATGATCTTCTTCTCCACCCCTGTCTGTTTATATTCAGATCAGAAAACCAGCTCAGAAGCCTTGTCAGATTGCCAAAAGCTGTGTGCTACTACTCGATCTTTCACATAATTTACTGTTCAGTGTTTACAAGAGTATTTTTAATGCACAATTGCCTGTAGAAGTGATGTAGGCTAATACTGGTGTGATACTTCATGTCAGGAGCAAGACTTTGATGTCCCTAAATCCCAAGTTTCTTTTCACAGAAAAACAAAACAAAGTAACTGTGCCAGTTAGGCCAAAGGATCCTGCTAGCTGTTTCCCAAAAACATCCCTAAAATGTCAGTGAATGGGCCAAATGGTTCTTTCTTTTGTCTTTGTAACATAACTGACCTTGGAAGTCAGGGTGGGTGTCTGCACAGGTATGAGGACAAGAGTTGGATGATGTTTCCAAATATATATGATTTAGTATCCAAACTCACTTATGCATATATGCTATTTGTATTTGTTAAAGGTAAACAGAAAAAGCCAACATTTTAGTCACAAGGAATAATCACAAAAGTTCTTTTTCAACATGTTTACGTCTGAAAGAAGAAGTTAGTTTGTTTTGCTTAGCTCTATTTAGACAGAAATAAGCTGTATCCCAGAATTATATTTAGAGGTATGTAGAGGAATAAAAAAGTGAAACCTGAGAGAATAATGCCCAAGTATTCTGATTCTGAGGGGAAAGGCTAATTCACCACCAGTCAGTGACAGGCAAGACCATGTGCTGACTCTGTCTTCCCTTGTGATTATTATTCAGTCCTGTGGCTGACAGAGCAGTTGTAGTACCTTTACACAAGGCAGATCTCATATGCAATATGTTATGTGGCACCCAAGATATTTTGTACCTGAAAAAGGTATGCATAGCCAACATTTCCCTGGCAACATTCAGGGCCCTGTTCCTTCTCCTAAAGAAGATAACAGTACTCATTGACTGATTTCTGTGATGCATTTTATTTTTAAACTGAAAGCCATCAGCAGTTAATTTTTTAAATATATACATTCACACAACATAGTAAAATCAGTAGTAACACTGTACAGAAGAAAAATTGATATACTTAAAATGTACTTTTAGTATTTAAGATGTATCCTGAATCTTTTCAGCTTTCCAAGTACTAGTTATTTTTTAAGAAACTCATGTGAGAATTATAAATGCATTCATTCCTGACCCATGGTAGTGCTGAGAGTCAACTCAACCAAGTCACTTGGGCACTGGATAAAATACCTGCCACATATTTTGATGTATGTTGAGCAGACGGTGGTCCAAACCGTACGTTATTTTTCCTCTTTTGTCCTCAAAGAATAGCAAAACTCTTCTGAGGAATCTACGTGTCTTCTTACCACTGGTGAGCTTAGAGTGGCACAGCTACCCAGCACTTGGAGCAAGAGCTGGAATTTCTGAGATGGGAAGAGCAAGGGGTTCTGGGTGAAACACATTTAGGGGCATGGGGGGCAGATCCTGAAACACGCTTCCAGGAGTCTGGGTCCATGGAAGGTCTCTTAGTTCTCCAGGATGCATTTTAGTTGGCTTGCAAGGAACCAAAATGAATCATCACAACCTGACTTGCTGCTTGTTTAGTAAGACCGTAGTACCACTTCAGGATTTAAATGGCAGGACTGAAAGAAAGCTTGTTAGTGATATAGTATCACTAAAGAAACCAAAACCCAACTAACACCCTCCTTCCCTTGCCAAACAGCCTCTTTACGTTTAAAGGTATTCCCTGTGGCTCTGTTCTTTATTTTGATTTTTGTAACAATTTTTCTCTTTCTGATGAAACACGTTGTAGACATTAAATTAAGGGACAAATATGTCTGTGTCTGCCAGAAAGAAAACTGTGATGCAATTAAAATGCCATTAGGGAACCCCCTGTGGGATGTTAAACCTAAAGACTCTATTCAGAAAGCAAAGCCAAAATTAAAGAGGTGTCCGGTTGCAGATCCTCTGCAGATTTCCATTTCTTGACTACAGTACCATGGAGAATGTGCTAGTCAGGAGCTGGAAGGTTTTTCCAGTCATGCGTGTGGTATTTTGAATCATGGCTTTGGCAAATGTTCCTTTTCTGTAGGCCATACGTAGAATTGTGTCTACATTGCATGACATAAAGTGAAACTGAGTGTGGTCCACATGAAAAAATGACAGCAGTGAAGACGGGAAGCTGTCCAAGGCTTGGACAAGCCTTGTTCAAGGCTTGGACAATGACAACTAATTTCCCCAACGGTTTTCCCTGAGAAAATTTGCATTAAGTGGATACATCTCTGTGTTTGCTGAGTTGTCTGTGAGATGCTTGGAGACAGAAGTGTGGCTACTTGCAGCCATCAGGCTCAGTAAGCGTCCATTCTAGCCCAGTCTCTGGAAATAAATTGTTAGTGTTTATGTGCTTGGAGACATATAAGAGCCTGATCTTTTGAAAATAGAAATAAATATATTGTCCATCAAGGCTGGTCATCTTTTTCTGAGGCAACTGAAGGAGTCAGCAGAGTCGTCGGGTGGTAGGTGCTGAGTTTTCCAGTGACAGACCAACCCTGGTGCTGCAGTCCCATTTGTTCCATTTCATTCAGCGTGATTATTTGCTGAGGATATTAGTAGGGATGGGAATAATAATAGAAGCACACCTCTCTTCTCTGTCTAGGAATTCTCCTGATGACTGCAGCGTGGCAAAAGGAGGAAAAATGGTTAGCGGCTCAGACAATGTTGGGATGAACTATGGAAACTACATGGAAGAGAAGCACATTCCACCCCCAAATATGACTACCAATGAACGAAGAGTCATTGTGCCAGCAGGTTAGACCCTCTACACAAAAATTTCAAGCAAAAAAATGCATTTCCCCTAAGTCTGCTAACATTATTTAAGAAGATATGGAGAAAAGTGTCAATGTGAAACAGGTGATCAGGAAGAAAAGAGCAGTAATTCCCCAGTGTTATTAAGAGAATGAGCTGAGAAATATCATAGTGAAGCCACCTGCTCAACCTGTTCTTCCCCTTTCAGCAGCAGAACTGTCTGATTACAGGCACTCAGATCTTATCTGATTTCTCTAGCTCCTTTTGGAGTATTTTACCCTAAAGTGGGCAACATGAAGAGCCACTTACATTTCCTAACACCATGGACTAACTGGGTGCAGAGTGTGTGGGAGGGAGAAAGGGTCACCGTCCTACACAATATCCCTGCAAATGCCAAATGCAGTCTAGCCCTCAGCATGCTAAACCCAGAATAGCTTCTATGAGATCAAACAGCACATGAAAAGCATTTATCTAGGCTATCCCCCGAGTCTGAGCAGTGTAAAACATTTTAATAATCAAACTGCCAACTCCACTGCACTATAAGAGCACAATTGAGAAATTCTTGGTTAGTCTTGGCAAGCTTGGTTGTGGGATTCAGCAGTTAATTGAACTAGAAGGCATTCACTCTTGTGTGCCTTGTCCTCCAAACAAACCTCTGCTGGGAGGTTTATTACCTTGGTTTGCAAAATAATTAGCATGCTTATTTCTGAAGTCAAAGCATTAGACCATCATGACATATGTGGGTGTTCATAAACGACTGGATACACAGAGAATAGACAGAACACCTGCAACTGCAAACAGAAGGGAATGTTTTGCTGCTAGTTCCTCTCCAGCAGAGATGTGCCTATCTGAAACATTTCTGTTACTGCTATGTTGCTTAATATTCTTACAGTTTCTCAGTTGCTAAGATATGCAAGAGTACTAACTGTGGCCAATTTTGCAAGCTGTGATTATTTCAGTTATTTGTCAAGATATGTGTGGACAAATATGTTGCAGTATCCTCTGCAATGGTATTGGGAGTTCTATTCTGAAGTACAGAAGAGTGATGCACTGAATAATGAAGTGTCCTACCAACTGGAAGCAGACCACACTGAAATTCATTATATTTGAATGTTCTTCTAAAACATTTGTCTTCTTGGTGGTTGGCACTTTTTTCAGTCTTTCAGTAACCCTTAGCATGGTTAGGTCAGCAGCATCTTTTTTTCTCAGCATGTTCCTGGCGGTGTGTTTTGATGTGGATTTGAGCGACATTCAAGGAACAAGATGGTCACAGTCACAGCCTTGCTATTTTGAGGTCCCTAGAAAAAATGTATGGGTGAAACTTAGTTGGTTTTGTTTGACTACCACATAGGCAGTGTGCAGCTCATGTGGCAAAGTTTAGGAATAAAAAAAGCAAAATTTGCATTTCCAGCTGTGGTAGCTTTCTCATTATCATAAATAGAAAGCATTTAAAAACTATAGACATGATCAAAATGCTTTGGTAAACTCTCTGATGTTTGGTTGTTTGCTTCAAAACAAACTGAATGTAGTTGCTGGAGTTCTCTGCTGTAGATGTGGGCAATCTCATCCAGACCCTAGGTTGCAGACTTGCGTCTCTCCAGTTTGCTACATATTTCATACCAGATGGAGGAGTTCTTTTAAGTGTTTTTTGGTGCAATTCAGAGAAAAGAGAAACCCTCTGAAGCTTACAGGGATTAAATATTCTGACTTGCAAGGGCTTAAAATGCCAAAAGAAGTGCCAGAAAAGGGGAGGCACTAGTGGGTGAAGGACTGGGAGGTGAGCAACAGCACCACAGACTCTGACTAGTTCCTAGCTCGTGGAAAGAGGTCCCTACCTCTTTCAGACCAACGTGAACAACAGTCAAAAGAGAGGGAATGACACTGAGTTAAGCCACATAAAAGCTATTTAGGCTGTCACTCAAGTCCCAGCCCTTCCACAGACTTATATGTGACAGACTACAACCATTTGACCTCTGTGTGCTCCATTCTTGGTTTTCAGGATATCACAGAATCACAGGATCATTTAGGTTGGAAGGCACGAACTCTCAAGGAGTTTGTTTCCCCTTAGCTTTATTATTTTCTCTTCAAAAAGTATAAATTATTCATGGTAGGAGCTGTCTTCTATTACAGGGATGTGGACTGCAGGTTGTTAGGGACCTTCATGCTGATGGGTGCTTACTGTAACTCAAGAGAAGGGAAAAGCAGAATGGCAGAGAAATAGAAAAGGGGGAGTTTACAGGAAAAAAATAAGTCTGAGTTAAAATCAAGGATTCATTCAAAACCACAAGGTATTTGGCCTTATGTTTTGCTAAAAAATGTGGACTAGTTGTTGCTTTTTTCCACAGATAGTTTTGTCAATACTGGAGGTAGTATGTAAAAACCCAGGCAGGTGTAGCCATGTACCCCAGTACAACACAGCAGTCTAGGACAGAAAGTGCAGAATATTTTAATATGACCCACTCTAGTTTATTAAACAACTAGTAAAATCTGTGAGTGCTTACTTAGCCTATGCCCAAGAAACTTGAGTGGAAATTTCTATTGAATAGAGATACAAATTCAACAGAGAGCTTTGAAAGTTGTTCAGATACAAGTTGCAGTACTGTTAGTGGGCTCTTAAATACTTTTCTGGAGGGTATTCCCTGCATGAGGACAGGAGCTTATGTTAATCTGTGGATAATAATGCATAAAAATAACAAGACAATAGAACTAAGTGGGAGAAGGAGCTCAACAGCAGAGGGCTTGTTGTTAATGTTCAGAGCTCACAGCTCTTCCCTAATAGTTTTTCACAGGCAGTTATTCTCCTTTGCACTCAAGAGGCCAAATTAATTCCTCGTTTATCTCCAGCAGTCAGTAAACAGGGGATTAAGTTCTCTTCAGTTTGGCTGTAGTCTACATTTTTTTGTACTGGTCCGGCGCATTAGTACTCTCTTCTCTCTGCCTAATTTTATGTTTTGTGATACCACCAGATCCTATGTTATGGAGCACAGACCACGTACGCCAGTGGCTTGAATGGGCGGTGAAGGAGTATGGTCTCCCAGATGTGGACATCTCGTTGTTCCAGAACATCGATGGGAAGGAGCTGTGTAAAATGACCAAGGATGACTTCCAGAGACTCACCCCAAGCTATAATGCAGATATCCTCCTGTCACACCTACACTACCTCAGAGAGAGTAAGCTAGTTTTCTGTCATTATGGTAGTGGCTACAATCAATCTGTGGTTGATATCAGTCTTAGATTTAATGATGTGGATACACTCAGCTGGGTTTTCAAATATCTGTTGCAAATGTTGCTGTTCCTAAGAACATCAAAAGCCTTTTGAGTTTGATGGAAAGACTCTTATTAATTTCAGTTGGCTTTCACTCATGTTCGTTGATGAAAAGAGTTAGAAGGTATTTCCACATGTCCATCTCAGAGAAAAATCAAATTGAAACCCAGAATATTCATCAGCATGCTGTAGGAAGAAAATAATATGGGATTCAGTGCTAATGTTTTTTCTGGTCACATACTAATTTCTTTCCATTTTAACGATGTGAATGCTAGACGAGAGTGCAAACATTGGTTCATAAAGCAAATTCCAGGCATGATTCTAAGGACTGACAGCAGTTTCCTCTGCTCTGATTAGGTTCAGGAAGATTTCACTATATTGAATAGAAGTTCTGTAAATTCATGGAAAAAAGGAACAGTCCCTGAAGTCCAAATGAAAATTACTTGTAGTGCATGGCTACCATTTCAAAGGGAAAGAAGGGACTAGTGAATTCCTGGCTTGAGGGCTTTCACTTAAGCTTGAGGAAATTTTTCAGGTTTGCCTCAGTTTAAAGAAGTTGAAGTGAACATGGTTTTTAAAGAATAAAACAAGCATTGCAACACCAGTGCGGTGCAGTCTTCTCCACACGCACACTGTCAATAATCAGTCAGAAATATTATGCATTCATAATGTGGAATAAATGAATGCCCTAGTTTAAGCTGTAGCACACAGGCATCCCTCCAAACTGTAGACTGAAACTGACTGTCGGTAGACTCTCATTCAAACAGTCCTATCAGGGGAAAATATGGTTTAAAAAGATAATTCACAATTTTTTTTTTCATTTTGGTGTTGCTTTTTGTTTTGTTTTGTAGCTCCTCTTCCACATTTGACTTCAGATGATGTTGATAAGGCCTTACAAAACTCTCCACGGTTAATGCATGCTAGAAACACAGGTAATGCTGGCACTGCTCCCATTGCTATAGGCCATCTTCTAAAAGCACAGGATTCTTGTTTATGGGTTGCTTGCTAAAAATGGAAATGGTAAATCAGGAGGGAGACAAGCATATTCTCTCCTTGCTGCGTGTGTGAGTTTTATGCACAGGCACACAGAAAAGATGGTGAGATCATATAGGGCCAGATGGTGCAAAAATGGTTTCCTTACTGGTAATTTCTCGTGTCCTACAAGAGAATGGGGTCCCTGACACATAATAAACTGCAAGCTCAGGGCCTTTGTCTCTGAGGCCTTTTTTTCTCATTCTGTCTTGTACTGTCAGATCTACTCGATGGATCTCTAGAAGGTTGGTGGAGCTCAAAAGTGCTTCAGTGTTCGCCTAAGTGCTGTGGGCTCCAGTGAATTGGGACTGTCTCCCCTCCCATGCAGTATATATGATATAACTCAATAAAATTGCTATTTAGGTAGTTTGCTCATCTCATTTGTCAGCTATATGGGACTTGAGCTGAAAACTTCGCTAAGTTTGATGTTGTAATTTCCACTAAGTCTGATCTGAATGTAAAATGATTTTTGTTAATATTCACCCTTCTGTTAAGTAGGCCCAGAAAAGTGTTGAGTGTAGGTCAGAGAACGATACAATACATGCCTGAAAAGTGCCTGTCTTTCAGGATGTGACTTAAAATATTTATGAAAATAATTCAGAATAAATTTTATCTTGCTCTAGCAGTTGTGCAGTAGAGGATGGCATGGAATTATACATATAGTATGGTATGCAAACTGATTAAAGATGTTTGAAATATTGTATGATCATGCCTGAGGGTATTAGTTACCTACAGTGACCAGAAATAACAATTCTTTATGAGAAATGAAAAAGATAATACAAAGGATAATGCAAAAGAGAAAAAAAAAAACCAAACCTTGGATTGCAGTGCCTTTTTTGTATTTCATTGAGTTTTTCATTGTGGTAAATAGCAGTGAATCTCCTAGCAAAATTAACTAGATTAGAAAATCTCTCCCTGAGATTATATGTTTGCCACTTGACATAAAGTCCTACTGTGCACTGTAGGCCTGCTGCAAACCCCACCAAAGGCATCAAAGAATTTTCTATTGACCTTGATGGAGTTTGGAATAAGCCTTAAGCCTTTTTAAAAACAAATGGACTCAATGGTGTTTTCCACCTCTGGCCTTCCAGATTCTAATTTTCCAAGTAGTTCCCACATACAGTTATCCAAGTGTTGCTCAGCAGTTCTATGTGTTATCTTTTTCTATATGTGTGCACTGACAATGATATTTTGAAATAAATTTTACCAAAATGAGATTATCTGCATTACTGTCATTGGGTGTGTGAATAATATCATGCTGATCATCAGCATAAGGAAAATTAGTTGTTCTGGTGACAGAAGATCTTCAGAGGGGATTTTCAAAGGACCTCAAAAGAGTTAGAAACAGGTTCTTTAAGTCAGCAGTAATTGCAGAAATCCTTATGACACTTTTCATGTTCCTAGAGATGGTCATTAGAAGTCTGTTGATGTAGTTAGAGCAATTTCAATGCCTAAGTGAGATGCCATTTTCTATATCAAGCTCATTTTTCACTCTGTGAGGAGAATTAGATTTCTGAAGGTCTGATCCAAAGCCAACCAGTGTCTGTGAGGAGATTCCCACAGGCACCAATAGGCTTTGGCACAGGCCTACAGCCTCTGAAAATATGAACCTGCTTGGGATGTGCATGCACTAATGAAGGGAAGGCAAAGAAATTTTATTTCACAAGATATGAAACCACCTGCCCAGGTGGTGGTGATTGTGGGGAAGGTAGAAGGGATTTCCTGAACTTGACTCACTCCTCACTTAACACAGATTTTGCACAGCCTTTTACCCAGTAATTTGAATGGATTTACACAGGTGCAAAGGCTATCACAATTAACTTCTATATATAACAGCCCTAAGATAAAAATTAGTTATTCATAGTCTTCATTCAGACACACTACAAGAGGGAAAATATCAGTGGACTCAGGGACTGTGAAAATGAATCTTTAGGTGTTATGTCTTCTTCTTTCTCTTTAGGAGGTGCCACTTTTATTTTTCCAAATACATCAGTTTATCCAGAAGCAACACAAAGAATTACAACCAGGCCAGGTATGAACAATGACGACTTCTTGTATGCTGTGATCTTACTCATTTCGTCTCTTGAAGTGTCTCGTTCTTTTTCTCCTTCAACTCTCTTTTCATAAATATTAGGCTATATTTTGAATACACACACATGTTATATACATATATTTTATATATGTGTGTGTGCATATACCATTGTGTAGAGTGAGATGATTAAATAGAGCAGTTCAATGTCTGTTTCTTCCACATATCTCTGTCTTTGAAGCAATGCTATCTAGTGTTCAAAGCACCAGAGAATCAGAAGACCTGAGCTATATTCACTGATTCTGTTGCATCGTCCCAGCACAGTCACTTTCCAATGTGCTTCAGCTCTCTGTAAAATGAGAGAAGAGTACCCTTTTTTATAATGCTATTTGACATATATTGGGAAAAAGCACTCTAAAAGTGCAGGATACATGTTTCTCTTGCAATCTGCTTTCTTTTTTTTTTATGTTTGAGGCAAATAAACCACACATCTGATTGTGAGTTTAAGAGACTAAATAAGTAAAGTCAAAACATAAGAAAGTCCTTATAGCTCAAAAGTTTGAAACCCATTAAAGTATTGTGGGTGTGCTGGTTTGTGAAAGGCTAAAGAAGATGAGGACATTGCTATAAAGGTAAAAATTTTATTTACATCACCCTTCACCACTAAAGACGCTGGAAAAATGCCTCATCTGGACATTTGCTTTTCCAGTAATAAGCACAAAGTACTGTAAGACATCAAGAGTTGTTGCAGCAGAATCCTAAATTTAAAGGAAATCCATTACCGAGCCAGAGGCATACATCCAAGTGTTCTGAAGGGACATACACTTGAATTGACAGAGCTCGTGAAGAGATACATTCTCTCGTTAAAAACAGAGGGGGTTTTTGGATTGCAAATATTTTATCTATCTTTTATCAGTGCTCCAGGGTATAATCCAGGAGAGTATACACAAATAACTGTTTTATATACCCTTGTATACATGGATATATGCATGTCTGCAGATTTGTTAATTTATAATTAAAAAAGACAGATAGTTAGGGCAACAGCTACCAGACCATTACATGATCAAATCCACCCTCCTCAGTTTCTAGGAAAACAAATTCTCCTCATAGATTTGTTTGTGTATAGCAATGCTGTAGTGAATAGAAAGGAAACCACTGATCCAATGTATACATTTGGCATTTGACTTTCATAAGACATTTACCAAAGTGCCCCACCACTATTTACAATGAAAGTTAAATCAGCATATCATAAGAAACAAAATATTTTAACAGATCAAGAACTGGCTAATGAACCTGTTAAGAAGACTAAATAATGGGCATCTTAAGTCATGGGTGCTTTAGTGTTCTCTGCCATGATCTATAGTTGTTAATAATTGGAAAAAGGACACAATAAAATTTGATATAAAACTTAGAGATGACATATGATTTTGTCATTGCTTAAAACCAGAGATTCCTCCAAAGGTTTCCTGTACAGGTGCCCAGAGCCTTATTAGAGATCAGCAAAAGTCAATACGTTAACAGCTGAAAATACAAGTTGATAAATGCAGTATAAGAGACAAATTATTTGCATATCTTACTGATTACAAATTAACCCTCTTCACTCATAAAAGAAGAACTTAGCATAGGCATCTTTGTCTATGGCACAATGAAAGCCACTGCTCTAGTTGTTGGCCAAAGTGAAAAAAAGTAAGCAAACAAAGAAACACAGTGGATGGTCATATGGGGAATCTGACTGTGCCGTTAAATAAATCAGCAGTGTGGCCTTCTATGGAAAGCTCTGTGAATCATCCCTTATCAAAAGGGCTATTTGAAGACTTAGAAGACACGTAGAGGAAGCCATGGGAATACGGAAAATCTTTTGAGCGTGTTGAAAGATATAAAAGCTTGAAATTGTTTAAATCAGGGTCTGGGGATGAGGAAACATGATATAATTATCAAAATAAAGAGTGTCACAGTGTACCTGCTTAGTCTCAGTATTTGAAGAAAAGGATATTCCAAAAAAAATTGGACATTTTCATGAAACATTAAAGCAGACTGTGGCCCTCATGGTCACAGGTTATAGTAGGACCCAAGAGCTTTGAACGGCATGGAGGAATCTGGACATGAATATGGATGAAAAGACAAAGCATAGGTATAGAAACAATTACCAATTATGCAATGTAAAACTGGATGCCCGAAGCTCTCAGTAGTTTCCGATGAAAATGAACATGTAACATAAGACCAGAGGAACCTGGGTGTTTTGCAGGAAATAACCATGCCAATTGAGAGGATTTCAGGCAAAGGCTAGACTGAATCTGTTGTGAAAGATTTTTATCCCATGAGAAATTATATTATTTCGATCTTTGTTTCATCCTGACTTGTGATGGAAAGATAAAATACTAGTTTTCTCTGAAGTAAAAAGTTCTAAAAAAACCACATAGCAGACACGGTGAAGTCCTTCATTTTGGCATTTTTATCCAAATCACATTTACAATGAGACTTAAAAACCAAAATGCTTTATATCAACATTAAAAGCATCTTCCTGTGTTGACACAGTTCCTTGTGGGAGTTGTAGTTTGGATACAGGGTGTCTCTATTCTTCTGTGTAAATTCATGTATCTTAACTAAACATTTCCTACAACAAACTATCACATGATTTTGAATGTATTATTTTATATTTTTAAATTGAAAGTTGACAAACATCTTTAAAGTCAGAATTTTAATTCAGAAAGAAAAAAAAAATTTTGCAGAAATTCAGTTTTCTCTCAATAAACTATTTTGTTTAGTTAAATGTCACATTTCAACCAGACTGCAAAGAAGCTTTTCCATAACAAAGCGCCCTTCATGTGAAAGCAATAGCAGACCCTCGGGACAATCACTTGATGACAAGAAAAAGGTCAAAAATGAGGGGGGGGAGTAAATAATGTTAAATGGGAATTAGCCTAATCCTGGGGTGCAATTCTGGAGAAAGTAATTAAGCATTGCCATTGTTAAGGCACTACAATAGAAAATAGGAAATGAGCAGGGCTTGTAATGAACAGCAATAACAAAGGCATATTTCTTCAGTCACCTTTACAACAGAACATGAGGTTTCACCAAGCTGAAAGTAATACAATGAAGCTATCAGGAGCTCAGGAAGACCTGATATTTGTCTACATGTCTCATCAAACAGGAGCATTCCCATCAAAGATCTGTCCAAGATAAGGACATGTTGTACTAATATCTCATGAATAAGAACAGATCTGCTTATCTAGGATAGCAACATGTTTATCAAGGCACAATACTGAACTAAGAATGAAGTTGGAATTTTGCGCTATTTCAAGAAAGGCTGATAACTGGATTTTTCTTTTAATGGAGAGGGCGTTGTCAGAAAACCATCTTTTGATGTGTTGAGTTAAAAGGCAAAACATTTTTCTCACAGTACTAAATTTGTACCAAATATATTTTAAGGCCGCAAGTGCCACCAAATATAAGCACACAACATCGCACAGCCCTCTTAGTGTACAGGTGTCTCATAATTTGGAAACCCACAAATAGAGGGAGAGGAGAGGAGAGGAGAGGAGAGGAGAGATTGTGGGATGACTAACCTAATGACAAGCACATACCTTCTATGTAATCTTTTTACCCTATTTGTCTGTAGTCTTTCTGGGCAGGGAATGGAAGAACTAGGGGAAAAAAATAGGTTCCTTATGTCACCAGAGTCTCCCCTGCAAGGCTGCCGTGGAGGTAGAGGACTGGCCAGGCAAGGCAGGACTGTACAAGATACATGCAAGCAGCCCACAGCTGAGCCCTGGCCCCCACTGTACAGACAGAACTTGGAAACCCCTGGAAACATGACCAGAGTCCTTCTGAATTTTTTTGACAGATGATAAAGTCCTCAGACCATGACATGTCTCTAACTACAACAAATAACAGTGGTGTTGATCTGAACCTGGTCAGGACATCTGCATATTGCAATGATTCACTTGCACACCAGTATTCTGCTCAGAGATGAGCACTTGTGCTATTCACATTACTTTCTCTGAGTTTCTGAAGGACAAGACTGTGGGATAGTTCTCAAGAAGTCAGGTATAAAAAGGCACTAGTTATTCAAATGTAATACAAAGATAAATTGCATATTTCAACAAAATCAAAGTTTTTGAAGTGTAAGATTCCAGGGGACGACAGTGCTGGTAGTGCCAGTCTGCTCCTCAAGCCAAACAGACTAAAAAAATTAAGGGTAACCTGGTTGTGAATTTCACATTACACTTTCTTTCCATTTGATACTTCTGCTCACAGTGTTTGGAAATGGGCAGAGATGCATCTGTTTTGCACAGAGCCAGTCTGTGACTGTTTCTTTACTACTTAACTGGTTTCATTTCCAAACATCATTTCTAAAATAAAGCACAAGCACTGTTAAGATGCAGATCATCTGCACCAGCTTAGTTCTACCAGGTGGGTATTGCTGCCTTCCTGAGATCCTGGGAAGGCTCCATAAGTCTCTGATTTTGGCAGCAATTTTAGCTAATGTGTTAAAGCCGGCTGTAGAAAAGCACGGGCAACTGCAAACGATTTCAAAGGGTAAACCAAACATTTGAATTTACTACATATACTTTATGAAGAAAGCTTTTACATTTTAGTTTCTTCATTTTTATATTGTAAAGCATTTCAATGAAACAGAAGTAATGAATAAGTGAAAGAAAAGGCAAATACAAATTTAGATATGTAAAGTTAAGGAGCTTGTCCCAAGAAGCAGAAAACAATATTTAAATAGATAAAGCAGGAAAAAAAGCTATCCACTTTTTGGAAGAAATATCATATGTGTACGTATGTATGTGTAACATTTAAGCATGTTCACTGTTTTCACATGTTATGTTTCTAAACATTTGTGAGGATACTGGGGTATGGAAGGGAAAGTGAAGGAAAAAGAATTATTAATAATTTGAAACTACTAGTAGAAAAGAAACAAGTGAGATTGGCACAGTGCAGCAATAAATTATCCCAAAAGTTTGGGTTTTGAATTATGAGAGTGAAACCAGAGGATGTATCTGAGGAAGAGAGCTCTTGCACACATGAGAAGTGATATCACAGGAAAAGCATAATAAAGTGTGTGATGGCAATGGGAGACAGTGCAAATGCAAACGTGCAATAGTGGTTCAGAGGAATCTCCAACAGACAAAACCAAAACTTTGTTGTCTCACATATCTCTTCCCATGACCAGGCAGCAGAAACTCAAGCTATAAAGTTTGGTCAATCTCAAGGGATGGCAGGAACAGACTAAGAATGGCACATTAGATCAACTAAAGTCCATCTTCTTAAAATAATGCTACCTGCTGAGATTGGGAAGGAACAGTACACAGTTTATACTTAGTCTGAGTTCTGACCTCTTGGGGGACTTTTCCTCCAAGACTGTAGCATAAACTGTCCATTTTGGGCCATGTGTGTCATTCCTTGGTGTCCTGGGCTGAGAAAGGAGACTAAAGGGAGTACTCTGAGCCTTTGGAAATGGTGGACTCTATAGAAAAGTGTTTGTACCAGCTATTTCAGTGCAATTCAGACATCTAACAAGAACAGACAATGCTAAAGAGCAATGCAGAAAGTAATATGGTACTGTTATTTTTAGAGAAAATAAAGATGGTAACTGTTTTAACAAGGATTATCCTTCCTATTTCAGTAATTTTTCCTATCCAGTGGGTCCCCTAGAAATGTGACCCTTATGGACATAAACCCTTCATGCCATATCTGCATGAATCGGTGTATTTTTCCTTTACAGATTTGCCTTATGAGCAAGTGAGGAGATCAGCATGGACGAGTCACACCCACCCCAGTCCTCAGTCAAAAGGTAAAAACTATTTGCATATGTCTAGCCTGGGGGCCTAATGAACATCGGGTGCAACCTGGATAGACTCTGAACTGAACTGATAGGAGCTACCTCAGCATTCTTCCTTGGATGATTTTTACCTGTGCTTTGGCTGGAAAGCCTGTTGACTGTGCATATGCAGTAGTGGGTGGAGTCACTGGGGCAATCACATCCTTCCTTGAATTCAGGCTTCATCAAGTCCATGACCACATAGTCTTATAAAGCTAAATCCTATTGTGACCATCATTGACTGGTGAGCAGCAGGACTCCCAGTCCTGTGATCTATCGCAGGTTTGGTGACCAACTTCCAAACTGAAAAAATAACTACATGGGTTTTTCCATTTTCAGCTACTCAGCCATCATCCTCAACGGTTCCCAAAACAGAAGACCAGCGTCCTCAGTTAGGTGGGTGTCATTTTGTTTGAATTGTTCCTGGGTGTGATAGAGTTTGTTGAAAACGATGAGAAGGACAGCTCTCACCTACCAACCAGAAGCAAATTGCAACATCTGATTTAGACCACTACTGAGATCTCTACCAGACCAGTAAATCCCCAGATGTGTATGAGTTGTCTCTACAGCTGTACCCAAGATGAAGGCTCCCATGGCCACTGAAAATTTTGGTAATGTTTAGTGGCAGTGATGACCTTGCAGAGTGAAAAAGCTGTTAAACAAGTACACATGTACAGTTTAGGTACAAAGGTGGAAGGTAAGGATGTCAAAGACCATGTACTAGCTAGCAGGCGGAAAATGTGCACGAGCAAAGAGATGAAAATGGGTTACAGCATACAGAAACCTATTTGAATTGGGCTCCTGCAATTAGACAGGAAAATAAGGATTCTCAGTCTACTGGGAAACTGAGGAGAAAGTAGAAGTTTATTGGTTTGTAGACTGGTGGTTTTGCAAAATGGGTGCATTTTGTGTTTTCAAAGCAGCTAATCCATGAGGTAGGACCTAATCTCTTATAGTGAATTAGATGGTCTTGGACAGGTAGCTTAGAAGGTGCTACAGAGATTTTGAGTCAGTCATGGCTTTTGTTACCAGCAAAAGTGTAGAAGTAGGAAATAAAAGAAAATCGGAGGATATTCTTAGTTCAGAAGATTCTGAGCCTGTTATTATCACGTGGATTTCAAATCATTATTCTGGTTTTTGTTTTAGCTAAATAAGACTGTGCACATAACTATGTCTCATTAACTCAGATGCATGCTGCCTGGGAAGTCTTATACTGCTTTTTGCCCAAATAGCATTTTATCTAATCTGGCCTTCCAACCATGAGAATCTTTCAAGAAATAAACTGGTGATTTATGTAAGTCCTTAGGACTGTTTAATGGCTGTGTGTGAGCTGCACAGATTATTTAAATGTATAAGGAATGTAACCTGGTTATCTTCTTGGCTGTAAAAGTGGCGGCCGTTTGAGAGCAGCTGTCCAGAGCTGAGGCAGCGACAGGGTCATTCAGCAAGGGGATCTGGGCTGTGCCTATTTGGCTTTTGTACTTCCGTCACAGCCTTCGCTTTTTCCTCTTGTACTTCAATTCAGGCCGAAGGAAGTTTTCATTTCTGGAGGGAATCCCTTGAGGAAAACATTGAGATGCTACAGGCGTTGTGTGGCTGACACAGGCTCTTCTGAAAACCCTGACTGCAAGGCTAATACAGGGGATCCCTCACTGGGCTCCAGTGACAAAGAATAGACCCAGCCACATTGCCTGGGTTCAGCCATGCACTCTCAGCCCTATTCTGGAGGCTCTCTTGACACTGAAAGAGTTAGCAATGGCATGGGGAAAACAAATGTGTCCTCACAAGAAGAGAGGCCAATGTCCTTTGTGGAGGGGACTCTCACCCCCTTACCTGTCTGTGCCTCTGGGCCCTGGCACGCTGCAAGGGTTGATAGTACATGTATGAGTACTTTAAGTAGGAATCAGAATACTTCTGGGCCAAATTTGCAGTGTGTCTGAATATATGCTTGTGTACGCTAATACAGTACAAAAGGCAGATGTGTATCCTTGCAATTGTTCACTTGCACACTGTTTTACTGGAAAACATGGAAATACTGTGATGCAGAGAAAGGAATCACTTCCCCCAGTGTTGGACCTGCTGTCCCATCAGGTAGTATACACTACCCCTTACAAGGTTAAAAAATAACAGCTAAATTATTTGACATAATTGTTACATGATTTAAAATCTTTCTTTCACAATTTTGTAGATCCATATCAGATCCTTGGACCGACAAGCAGCCGACTTGCAAATCCAGGTGAGAAGGGATTTTGCTGATTTAGGAGGATTTCTCTTCACTGCTAGTGTCCCCACTTCAGCTTCAAGGCCAGACCTGGAAGGTGGTGTAACTGATGTTACCGCTCTGCAGTATGACCCAGTGGGAGTTGATGATACCCAATCTGTTGACAGATTAGGTTTCTAAATTACACGAGGGTGGGACTGAGGTCACAAACTAAGACTCATAAACTCATGTATCTTAATGCAGGTGTCTACATATGAGCTAGGTGTCTTTTTTTCCCATGATATGCATTGAAGACGTAGTTAATATAGCTCTCCATAGAGAGCTATTCAAATCATCCTAGAGTAGATGGTTACGTTCAGTCAGTCAAATACCTCATTAGAGGTATTGGAACTCCTCATGTCAATAGGAGTTCACTTCAGTTGCCTAAACATCGGTATTTTTTAAGTGCTGTAAGGTATCGCATCTGGCCTCCAGAAGGGCATGAGTCTCTTACTTATCTGTGCCATACATGTCCCATATTCTGTTAATCCACAATACAATGCCATACTGACCTTGACAAATTCAAAATTTTCGGATGAATAACCCAAACCAACAAAAATATCTAGGGAAAAAAACAGGAAAGCATAGTCTATTTCCAAAGAATAACTGGCTTACACACTTCAAAAATGTTCTCCCACTTTAAGAAGAAGGCAACGGGGTCACATTGTGGACAGGGGCTTGTAGCATATTTTAGCTAAAGATGAACCTTCCTCATGAGTTAATAACACTAATTGTGAACTGTGCAGATTTCACTGTAGCTGCTCTGAGTCTGTAGGACGCACTATGGCTGTACACCACCATAATCAACATCATAATCTGCCACGATGGATTGATGTTGTACTTGCCACTTCCTATTTCCATTGCTTTAACAGCCACAGGACAGAGTGTTCCTGGTTCCATATTGCAGGTCTCCTCAACCCCCAGTAACAATGTTTCTTCTTAGAAAGAATTATGGCTCTTCAAGCATGAAATTGCGGAAATTCTGATCCATTTCCTTTCACTTTATCCCAAGAAACATCAAGCACAGTTCCAGATTAGCTTACTTTCTAAACAGTTTTGCATGGCAAAGGAAAGCAATTAAGCAAGTATTAAGAAATAGGATTTTTCAAATGGCGTAAGGCGGTGGGTTTCCAGGTGACACTGATCTTAACTGGAAGTGGGACCCTACCTCCCTTTAATTTGTTCCTAAACCCCGACTTTTACAATTTTGTCAAGTGTCCACTTGGTAGCCTTCGTTACTGTGGATGACGCTAACATGATCTGGATTCGGATACTTTTTTAACAATTGGATATGGAGATCCTACCCACCATAATTCCTGTGCTTTAACATGTTTTGTGTGTTTATAAATTGGTGGAATTACTCTCTCATGAAAAAGAAATTGACAGCAACCATTTATTTTCATAGGACTATGTATTACATTTGGAAGGCAAGTGTTTATGTTAGAACATATGTTGGATTGCTTATTCAAAAATTTGTGTTTTGTCCAGTGCTGAACTGTTTATTGATTTTCAAAGGCTAATCCTCTTGTTATGTTTCGTGTATGAAAACTTGCATGCTTTGCTCATACCATGAATTTTTTGTTTGTTTGTTTACTTAATGCATGTAAATGGAACAGAAGAAATTCATTAAGGCCAGTTTGGATAAATATCATTTAAGCAAATATAAGTTTCAGTTGCACTGAAGTGTAAACTGCTAATGGATTTCAGATGCTACTCTAGCTTGATACTGTAATTCGCTACTGTAAGCTTTCTAAAGAAAAGCTTGTTTATTCTGGTTTGGAAAAAAAAAAAAAAAAGAAACCAAACCGATTCCTGGTCAGAGATGTACTTAGAAGTTAGCACATACGAGCTGGTTAGCAAATTCCGCTGACATTGTGCTTGTGAAATGATTGCCTTGCGAGCTGCCTCAGCTGTATTTTTCATCATTTCAGTGCTCCTTTATTGAGAAATGCTAAGCTTTTAACATGAGTATCAGTGGCAAGGCCCTTTGAAATCTACTTTCAATTGCCTAAAATGGTCACATTTTGTTCCTATAACTCTGGGCAACACACTCCAGCAAAGTTGACAGCAGACTAATTATTTTCTTCTTAAGATGAAATTGGCAGAGGGAGAAAAAAACAACCTTTTAAGTCTAAACTTCCATAATCATTTAAAGTCATTTGACACAGAACAATGACAAGAATGTATTTTATGGACCTTTTCACTGTTCTTGCAAATGTTTCACCCTATGGTTGTATGCAGTGCAACAGCAAGCTAGTGAGTTTCCGTTCTGCATTTCCCCAAATGCTGCAAATGGATGATACGGTTTGGCACGAGCCCAGCTTTCTCTAAACTTCTCCATTTTGTGTAGGCTTATTCCATAGCAGAGAGCAGTAGTTGCAACATAATGCTGTGAGAACAAGCAAAATGTTACGCAAGTGAAAGCTGTTTGTCCTGAACTTTAGAGATTAGTTTCCTAAATGAGCGCTGTACTATTTCCCCATCAATTGTCTACACTGAATGACATTGGGTAACTGTTAAATCTCCATGTAATGGCATTCTGCCACTCAGATGAGGGAAAACATGACACATAACCATTATCTCTGCTCTTTAGGATTTCGTGAGACGGGGCTGAGAAAAAGGGGACTGGTTAAGAATAAGAAGTAGGAACCGACATTGCGACATTTCCTAATAGGGCCCTATGTGAGAGCCTGGATGGATTGATGTCTTAACATTATTAGTCACTAGTCCTGACATTTCTATTTCGTTTCCCACCACAGGGAGTGGGCAGATACAGCTGTGGCAGTTCCTGCTGGAGCTCCTCTCGGACAGCTCCAACTCCAACTGCATCACCTGGGAGGGCACCAATGGGGAGTTCAAGATGACCGATCCCGACGAAGTGGCTCGGCGCTGGGGGGAGCGGAAAAGCAAACCTAACATGAATTATGACAAACTCAGCCGTGCACTTCGCTACTACTATGATAAAAATATTATGACTAAGGTTCATGGTAAGCGCTACGCCTACAAATTCGATTTCCACGGAATCGCTCAGGCTCTCCAGCCTCACCCCCCAGAGTCGTCCATGTACAAATACCCATCAGACCTCCCCTACATGAGTTCCTATCATGCACACCCTCAGAAGATGAACTTTGTAGCTCCCCACCCCCCCACTTTGCCCGTAACATCGTCCAGCTTTTTTGCTGCCCCTAATCCGTACTGGAATTCACCGACTGGAGGTATCTACCCCAGTACCAGGCTGCCAGCTGCTCATATGCCTTCTCATCTTGGCACCTACTACTAAGTGGGGAAAAAAAGAAACACCAGAAAAATCAAAGAAAGACATTTCTCACTGGGATAAAGTCCCTGATTAATTGCAGTGAACTCTATTGGAGTACATAAATTAAAAGTGCCTAAAGAGACAAGTGAAGGTTTGGCTGGGAAACAAAACATTTGAAAATATATGTCAAAAAGACTCTTTGTAGTAGGGATTTAAAGGAGGTATTCAAGAAGTATTAAGATTCTGAAATGTAATGTATATGGGCATCTACTCTGTGGACCAAACAACAATAGACTATTGGAGGTAAAAGCATGAAATGATAAGGAAAACCTGCGAAAGCTAGTGGTCTTAAAAAGTTGATAAGCTTATGTGTAAAGTTTGATATCTTGCTAGTGCAAAACTGGGACTATACTACAGCAATATAAGGATAAGTCTATAGTGACATAACATCCAGTACATGAATCATTACAAAAGAGGAGGGAAGAAGGTAAAAAAAAAAAAAAAAAAAAAGGAAAAAACCTACCTGTATTTAAAATATAGAAACACATCAACAAAAGAGACTGGTTTAATGTGGAAGCTGGTTTGGAATATAACAGCATTGTTTTAGTTAAAATCATATGCGTTCCATTCATCAGAGTGTTATCAGCTACTCAAACTGTGAAGACAACCCAAACTTCAAGATTCCTTGACAGTGTTACAGGAACCCTGAGCCAAACATTGGAAATGAGAATGTGCTGAAGGGCAAGTGTATGATTGTAGATCAGAGGCCTGCACCTGACAGAGGAAGCAGAAAGGAGCAAGAGGAGGACAAAGGCGGTGAGAATGGGAGAAAAGAAACTTTTTTAGCAGTAGAGACTGAAAAGACTGAACACTTAGTAGCATTGGGACTATGAAGAAACACTTGTTTGGACTTGTGAAACATGTTGCTCAGTATCGTACCATTCCCAGTATTACAGGAGGAACAGACTTGATTTTGTAGTGGAAAAAAAAGTGAAAAAAGGGAAAAGCAAAATAATTCAGAAATCAAAATATGCATCTCTTTTTTTTTAAAAAAAAAAAAGTAAAACTGGAATTGTGTTTGGTATTTAAAAGTTACCGGTTAAAACCTCATCATTATTAAGGGAGTTTGTTTTCTGTTGGTTAAAGCGAGAGACAACCCCTGACTGCCAAAATCAGAAATCATCTAAGTATTTTTGTTAGGCGGGCGCCAGTTTTTCTTTATCGAGTCGCGAACGCTGTGCGTTTGTCAGAATGAAGTATACAAGTCAATGTTATTTTTTCCTTTTTATATAATTATTATATAACTTATGCATTTATACACTACGAGTTGATCTCGGCCAACCAAAGACACAAAAAAGGGACAATCAAAAATATTGTGGCCTTGAATTTTAACTCTGTATGCTAATGTTTACATTATGAACATATTAGTACTTAGAATGCAGAATGTATGTAATAAAATAAGCTTGGCCTAGCATGGCAATTCAGACTGACACTGTAGTTTGCATTTACATTTGCATTTTTAGTGCCTGACACGCCTATCAGATCTCCTACTTACTGTGTTAAAATATGCTAGGCATTTTGTTTTGAAATTTTGTTTTGTGAAATCTGGCAATCATGAAAAGATAGGACTATAGCACTACTTAGCGTAGGTTCAAAGTGGACAGGTGCTGTATATCTTCTTTTCCAGACAGTTCTGCTGAAATCCTTGCAGCCCTTCTTTTACAGTGCCTTGCCATTCTTGTCCTGAGCTTCTTTTGCCCAGAGATTGCAGTGGTGCCCAATTCTTTAACAACTTCATGTCCAGGATTGAAAATGAAGTCTAAAGGAGGCCTCTGAGGAAGAATACTGATTCCCAGAAATTATCTTTTGTTGCCATCAGATTATGCAGCATCAACTCAGCCTGAGATGTGTTTTCATACTGAATCATATGTTGAATTACCATGCCCCCTTGCTACTAATGCATACTGTATCATTATTAGTAAATAAAGCAAATAATGAATAAATTCCATTATTCCTCACTTTAGAATGGCACATATGGTAGCCTGTTAATTTGTCATTGCAGTCCATCCTGGCTGTTTACAAAGGGCAGGATCTTTCCTTTCTCTTCTAGATTTAGAGGCTTCCCACACTGTACCCTGGGCCCCAAAACTACATCTGGTGCCTAATGGCATGACTCCATTTTTTTGCAACACCAGCCAAAGAACTGGTCTGGAAAATCAGCACTGACATTTATGAGTGGCTCTCCACAGCCGGCAGTGATTACTGCAGAGACCACAGACAGCTCAGACCTCCATCTGAGTCCCTCTTTTTTTGCTGTTCTTCTGTCTCTTTTTCAGATAAAATGGGTATGGTTTCAGGTTTTGTGGCATTTATTTTCCATATCTGTTTCATGGAGCATTAATTGGTGCTGTGCAATGGGAGTCTACTTGACAAACTCCATACTATGGGTGTCTTGGTGGCAGTTTATAAGCACAGGTTTATGTTACTAATGTTTGAGACCTGAGCAGTGGCACCATAAACCTTGTGATCGTTCAGGAAATAAGTACTGTAAGTGTGTATCTCTTCAAAAATAAAAACTCACAGAAAGGGTAGACAAACTGAACTCTTGGGAAAGGTTAGTCACTCACTATTTTAGAAAGTTATGGCAGGCACACCTCCATGTTGACTGTAAGAATAATAGTTTGCCTTTCAGTGGAAATACATCTACAGATGCTTGCTATCTACTTCATGTGTACTTCCAGCTCAAAAAACGGTAAGTGTATTGTTGAACCACCTTTTAATTAAACACTTAAAAATCCAGATAAAACTTCCGTCTGTGTTTAGGTTGGCAAGGACATGCCTGGAGGCCTCCAAAGCATCCCCAGTGCTCATAGAGCTGCCTGCAGGATTTCCAGATTGTGTTGCCTGGCTGCTATCATGTGCAATGGGAACAACATCCTGACATGAAAAGAAAGGGTCCAGATCTTGGGACAGGGATGGAGTCACAGCAGGTGGTGTGACAGAGACCCCTCGTGATGAAGAGCAAAACCCTACAGTAGACCATGGGTAGCTCACTGGCAAACCAGTCCAGGATACCCATCTTGGAGCTACACCTTTCTCCAGGACCAGCTCACAGCTTTCCAGGAGCCATGGAAAACCTGGATTGTGCAGCTCTGAGGATGAAGAGGAGAGTGAAAGGTGGAGAGACCCTACTGCTGCTGCACTGGGACCAGTGGCTCTGCTACTTGCAGGGCCTCCCTACCCCAGGGGCAGCAGCCACCCCATGGGGTCTTCCTGCTGGAGGACAAAGGGCCAGCCTAGTGTCCCAGGTCACTGTCAGAGACCAAACAGGCAGTGGACTTGTGATAGTGTCTGTGCTGCTCACTGCCTGCTACCCAGTCTGGCCCTGCTACTGGGATCCAGGAAGACCAGAGTGAGGCCAGAGTTTTAGGGTCTGGTTTCCAGTTCAGACCATGGCAAAGAATGTGCCCAGTACACCCAAAATGCTCAGGGAAGCGGAGCACCTCTGCATCCATACCATGAGAGGCACTTACATGAGACTCTGCCAGACCCCAAGACCTCAGCTGAACATGCCATCTGTTCAGCATCTGTTCACCTGGATGCGTGGACAACATGGCCCCAATGAGTCCGCATTTGTACAAGTTGGTCATGCTGATAAATTTGGCCCTTTGTTGAAATTAGGACTTCTTTTAAAGTAAATTGTCAGTCAAGTCTCATACCTTATTACAGCGCTCTGAGGACTGCTCTGAAAGTAGAAACTTTTTTTTTTCCCTGAAGTTTGGAGGTGTACATGTGTGCTTATCTTTCACCAAGAAATATATATCTGTTTGAGAAGCGTCACAGTAAGATGGGAAGTGATGGTGAGAAGAGTTAAAAATGTAAAACTAGGAACCTCAAATTTCACCATCTCAATCAGGATTTTTCCCATTAGGTTGGTTTTAGTGAGTATATTAAAAATGTATTTGAAGGATGTATTTTGCAACACTTATATTGTAAGTCTTAAAGGAAGATGGAGAGAGGTTAGGACAGCACAGCATCAACTGTACTGAACTCCTTCATTCCCCACACTTTCCACATTCAGAGGAGTCCATGTTGGATACCTCAGATGGCACATGCTTTGTAAACTGCTCACAGGAATCATCAGTGATTTAGGCTTTCTTCTACAAACTCTTCTTGCTCAGACTGTTTCTTACACCAGCTAAGATCTAATTTTAAAACAAACTTTTAATTACAGATGTATTAAAGAAATGTAAAAGACACACTCTACCTTATATTATATGCTTAATAATCCCATGATCTTCTTGTGTGCCATCCTCTCAAGTTTTGGTCACCTCAGGGGAATGGCCCTGAGAATAGTCTCTGCTTACCTAGATCGCTGGTAAGTCAGAATGGCACCTCCTCTGTCCAGACGTTTCAGTTAACTCATGCCTGAATTTTAACTGCCTACTGGTGCAACACAAGTGCTTAGTTCCCAGTCTGGTCAGTGGAGAGAGCCTTCGGATATCTTCACAGCAGATCCTGCCTGCCTTTGGGACCTACGTTAAGGAGGTCAGGCGCTACCATGACAGCTCACAGCAGCCTGCGACCAGGCTTTGGACTGGGCTGGGACCTTGCTGACCATGAGCAAGACAAGCCCTGTCATGAGTGACAGGTAACCCAGTTATGTGGGAACAATACCTAGTGGAAAAAAACAGAGCTCCCTTGTGTTTTCTTAGGAAAGATATTATTTTTTCCCCTCACAAAATGTAATGGCCATCATTGTTTAAAAAGGCACATATTTTCAAGAAAGCTAGATAAAACAGCCAGGCTGCTTAGACTGGGAATTGCCCTGAGATGTACTTTTAAATCGCTGGAGTGAGGACTTCTCAAAACCAGGCTCAGAAGTTTCTTGGGTTGTGTACCAGAATCTTGGGCCATATATAATTTATGAAAGAATAAGGGGCAGAATAATTTTCTGTGCACAGTTGTAGAAGAAGTAGTGAGAAAGTCTCCTTGGGAAATCCCATCCGTCCCCCTCACTATTACGGAACTGTTTTCTATTGTATACTTACTGATGTAACCTTAACACTCTTGTCATTTGAAAAGGTCTCAACTCCAGGGTATTTCCACCCATTCCCTTAACACAGAGGCCAACACATCTCATTATCAAAGAGGCTTTTCCTTCTATTTTTGCATTTTGCAATTTCTTCTGATTACAGTCCCCATGCATCACACTCCAGAGTTCCAAGCCTGCGTCAATGTTTATGGCTTTCCAAATATTTGTAGTTTGCTATCACGCTCCCTTTGACTGGATGTTAGCCAAGCTTAGACAGCCTAGACGTATTCCACTTCACAAACCTATCCCTCTTCTTCTCTGATAATTGTAATTGTTAATGAAACCTTTTTTTTTTTTTTTTTTCTTTTCTGTCTGTGAACATGAGCAGCCCTGATGTCTCCTGCTGTCTGATCTATGACTTCTTTGACTGCCTCCTCCTTCC